TGTTGACAATGACCTTCTCTATTCCATCCAAAGAAAAGGTAGTTAATTCCTCATCTATCTGCTATTTGACATCATCATAAATAAATTACAAGGACATTCGTTCGACACGGTTGATGTTTTTCTAATCTCTCGTATTATTACATAAACGGCGAATAGTCATTTGCAGTAGTACTTAGAAAATTATTTAGGAACAAAAAAAATGTTTATAATGGATTTAAAAGTCGTTAACGATGAGAAACGCATAATGCAATTGATTTTTAATATTGATGAGCTTATACCTAGTATTCATTAGTAACAGTTGTGTTTATTATTCGATATTTTTTGGAATTTGATGAAAATCTAATTTTCATCATCATAAGGTCGTCAGTCCTAAAACTGGTTGGACACGTACCTCCACTCTTTCCTATTCTGAACTAATCCTTAACTATTTGCGAACAGTAATCTAATGTAAGTCTACCTCTACCCTTCCTAACTTCTCTAATACGTCTCTGACTAGACCTTAATGCCTGAGAAGGTTTCTATTAACCTATCTCATCTTTGTTCTCCTTTTCTTTATAATACCTCTTCATTTCTAACTTTTTCTATCCTCGTTATCCTCAACATTAGTCTATAACACCACATTTTGAACGCTTCTAACATTTTCTTTTCTACCGCGTCTACTGTCTATGTTTCTCACTCGTACAACGCCGCGCTCCAAACATACACCTTTAACAACCTTTTTCGAATTTCTAAATTAACCGTTCGCGAGCATATTGAGACATCTTTTTAGCCCGTCTATTTGCACGCATATTATGTATGTAATAATTTATTGTTTCTGCTACTATTATTATAATACCATCTACCACCTACATACTTTGGCACAGTATTGTAGAATGTGCCTGCTCGGTATTCGCAAAAGTTACCGTATATCCTGGAATTTTTTTCCTTCCCAATGCTCCCACAGTCATCTCTTTTCCTCTTATTACCTGCAATTTATAAAAAGAAGCCTTCCAAAAATTGAAGCAATTCCTTCAAGGTATATGCATAAAAAAAGCGAAGGAAAAGGTTTTGCTTTGAGGGTTTACTTTAAGTAAAAGGTTTCGCATAATTTGTATTTATAAAAAGAAGAATCTGCTCAAAAACTAAAGGATTTGCTTCTAAAAAAGGAATTTAGGTTCACAACAACGTTTCTTGCTCAGGCATCTCACAGCTTGTAACGTAAAAATTTATGTATTTGTAGGACTATTTTTGTGTTAAAATCTGTCTAATAGGACTTGTATAAATAATCTGTAGTTGTGATCTCAGTGTTGTGCTTATAGTGGCCGATATGGTGCAATTACATACAAGAAAATACTACAAACCAAGACGTACACCACACAGTTTTTGGCGTTATTGTGAGAAACGTTTAAAACTTTCAACACTGCACAAGTAAATCAGGAATGTATTAAACAAATAAAATAAACAGCTGTTATGGAACACACACACGTTTATTGGACAATGCAATTTTCAACTACTTTGTCGAAATCGGTAGGGGCTAATCTGTCCCTTTCCCTTTTACTTTATTTATCCGAAGCATTTCCTCGCAAGCAAAAGGATTACATTATTAATACCAATTGTAGCAAAAGCCTTTACTTCCACCTTTTATGTAAGAAATTTATTCTTGGCTAGGCACTTGGTGAAACGTATTTAATAAAATATAAGAAATAAAACACTTGGTACGCTTTTGTTTCACAATTTATTTAGAACATTTAAACAATTGTTTCTGCTGCTAAACCATTATCAAAGAGAATAATTTTACAAAAGTAACAACTATCCTTATATACATATGTAGGGGTAAGATGAATAAATTTAGAAGTGGGGAGGGGCCAAAAATTCAGTTTGGTCGTTTAGTACATTATCTTGACATTTGCAAGCTTTTTTAATTTCTAATATTTCATNTTGCAATTTATGAGTATTTAGTGCAGTACATTTTTTCGTAACAACTTGATGTAAATCGACTACAGCATTCCTGGCAGGATAAAGTATTTTAAAAGAATGTACTAAACGACCAAACTGAATTTTTGGCCCCTCCCCACTTCTAAATTTATTCATCTTACCCCTACCTACATATAAGGATAGTTGTTACTTTTGTAAAATTATTCTCTTTGATAATGGTTTAGCAGCCGAAACAATTGTTAGAGTGTTCTAAATAAACTGTGAAACAAAATTGTACCAAGTGTTTTATTTCTTATATCTTACTTCATCTTGTCCTCATCATCCATCTCACCGACATTCATTCCCATTTTTGGCTATTCATCTATTTGCTCCTGCAATCCATTCAGGGCAGGAGTATGGTACAAAATGGTATACCGTCGTTGGGAAGAAAGAACGACACCCTCGCACTCGGGAGAGAACGTCGTACTTTTACCCTCGGTGCGTAACATAGAAACTGTTTCATTTTGAACCTATACGTTAAAAATATCTTCCTTTTCAGTGCGTCAAATCGTAAAAGTTGTCCATTTTAAAAGCCAAAATAATATTGGCGAGATAGTTTCGTAGTCGCGCGGGGGTACATTGACTTTTGGCAGACATGGAACAACCTCCGAATCGAGCAAATAAATAAATAAATGTGCCATTAATCTTGACAATGAACTGCCTGCAATCGCATCTATGTATACGTATAAAATAAAGTACAATAACTACTATATGCATATACGTGGCAGACAACCTTCGTGTCGTGTTAAATGCAATCGAAATTGTTATTATTATTATTATTATTATTATTATTATTATAAATGTATACATATATATATATATATATATAACCGGGTGCCTATGTAGACTAATAGACTGCGAATTATTGAGAAACGAATTTGCGTATTAATTGGATGCTGTGCGACCTCGTTCCCCACAGTCGATTCGCAGAAACAAGAAAAACAAACGAAAGCTGAAAGCGCCGGTTGGTTGTTGTAATGTGTAATATTGGACCGAGAACTTCCGAGAGCGAGAAAAGGTCAGACTGTTTCTATGATGACGTAATGCCAAATGTAATTAATAATCTTAATGAGAAATAATAAGTAGACCTTGTCTGTCTAGTGCAACTGCGTGAAATAAGATCAAAATAACTCAGTCCCAGCAGTGATCGAGACTAGTGTGGCGTTGGCGGAACTGTTTTTTAACACCTAGTTTTTCAGAAACCGATCCTGAGCTAAATTGCTAGAACGTTTTCAGCTATTAACTGAAAATGAGGGTGTGACTATTGAATTTAATATGGGCCCAAGTGTTTATGTATCTCATTGTAATTGACTTAACACAGGCCGTATCGAAGATTTACCAGCTTTTTGAAGTGAAACTTTTTTATTGACGGTAGGAGGGAAATTTGTTAGGGTATAAATCCGAAAAGTGTAACGTCACGCGTCACAGCGTCACGCGCCATGTGTAACCCCTGGTGGATGTTTCCAAAAGGAGTCATTTTAACAGGCTTCAGAAGCCAACCTGTTAGTAGCAACCGATAATCCGAAAACGAAAATTGCCATTTCATGATTCTATAGGTCAACGGGATGTACTCTGTAGGACATAAACGGCTGTATCTTTTGTTTGCGTTGGCTCAGAAGTTTGATTTCTTTCAGAGCTCCAAGGAATTGCAGATCTGAATATTTAACATTAATGTCAACTCGATACCTCCATGCGTCCATGAGAAAAAAGGTTCTTGACACTGACAGACAGTCAGTCAGTCGAACAACGAAGTTATTAAGAAGGGTTCCTTGTTTGCCTTTTGATATAAGGAACCCTAAAAATGTGCTGCTCGTTGTAATACACTGATACGGCGCTTTTATTTGAAAATTTATCAAAAAGCTTTTCAATTTCCAGCGTATCGGATTAGTAAGAGGATTTGAGAAAATGAAAAAGGAAAATTTACTTAAATATTAAAGCGATATTTACAATTTATCCCACTATCCAGCATAAATAAATTTACTAGGTATTTTAGTTGATTTAACAATTGTAATAATTAAGGAACTTGAAATCATTTTTAAAAAAACATGTCAAAATTGAGATTATTACAAATTACCTAATAAATTTTACTATTTCTACGGCAAATTCAGTTATTTACAATCAGTTATTTACAATTTACAATTCAGTTATTTACAATTGTAGTTTTTGCGTTATCTCCTGTAATTGGGGGTGTGGAGTACCCACGTTCTCTTCCGATTTGTAGATTTATGAAACCTAGTGAGTTTGCAATTTCGACTAATTTTATACGACACCTTATCAATTCTAAGTTACACATGTCTCTTAAAAAGTATTTATAATATTTCGATAAGAAAAATATGAACTCATTTGTACTCTACGCCACTTAACGTAACTACAGTTTCTACTTTTTTAATGTCTAATTACTGATAGTAAAAAGTAGGAAAAGATACATCAAATGTGAGAAAACAGTAGTACATTTACGAATATTATAAGTAATTTGACGGTGTAATTATTTCGTTCCAATTAAAAAGAAAATATTATATGGTCAACTGTTTGTCCGACGAATGTACATGCGTCGTGCGGAGAGGGCCGGTTCGTCCACGAAATCGTCGGGCTCGAACGTTTCGACCGATGCACCGCGCATAGCAAGATCGTTGCACTGCACGAAATGTCGACCGTTGTACCGCGCGAAGTGCCGTCCGTTGCACCGCGCGTAATGTCAACCGTTGCACCGCGCGTAGTGTCGACCGTTGCACCGCGCAAGCAGTGCTCGATGAATCGGTTGAACGTTATAAAAAATCTTTTACATTAGTGGGATCAAATCTGTCCCCTCGCTAATAATTATATTACTTTTTACCCTTTTACTCTTCACTTTTACGTAATGGTAATTCAATTAAAGAAGTAATTTGTAACTGGTTTTTTGCTGTTGCTATTTGGTAACAAATAAAAGCTTGTTTGGTACGAGTTTAATGCATATTGTTTATTGTCTTCTTGTTTTCACTTCGAATTAATAAAATCAATTACGCCGTTATAAAGAATAGATTTTAACGTAGTATGTCTTTTTGTTTCAGTTGTGAAGGCTGCAAAGGCTTTTTTAAGCGAACAGTTAGGAAAGACTTATCTTACGCCTGTCGAGAAGAAAAAAACTGTATAATAGACAAAAGGCAAAGGAATCGGTAAGTAAAATTTATTTCACACATTTTCAAGCATTGGAACAGAGAATGCGCATTTCATCTTCATTAATTTATCATCTGAACTTTTGATTTTGTATTCTTACTTTTGCAACACAATGTGTTAAAGATGTTTGGGAGGTATGTCAAAATGCTACGAGCAAAATAAAAATTTGGAAGAACGTTCCTCATTCAATTCTAAAACTCCTGTAAAAATTACAAATCGATTCACTAAACCGTTAAAAAGTTATTGAAATTTTAAAAAATTGTAATTTTACACGTCATTTTATGGAGATTCGTTAACCGAACAGATTAAATTTATTTTTATTAACAGAAAAAAAGCTACCAGAAATTTCAAACTTTTATAATAAGTAACTTGAACTCTGGAGAATCACTTTAGCGTAAGGTTATTCAAATTCACTAAATGGTTATCGAGGAAAAAATGAAAAATTAGCTGAAAATCTCGTTTTTACTTGATAATATAATGATAATATTTATAATTGTCTGAAATAAATGCAATTTTAAAGTTTTAATTATTATTTAAACATATTAAAAAGTTTTACGCTCATTATTAATAGAGATTGAAACTAAATATTTTTTTGTTTCGAAGTTGAAATCAAGGCATATTCACTGCCAAAAGTCAGTTAAAAATTTTCCATATTATTCGTTATTTCTTATTTTATTCAAAGTTTTTGGTCAAATTCCAAATTTTCTCTCAAACTGTATACTTTTTTTTAGTATAGATAGTGTTTATTTACCTCATAATAAGCTGCAAAATCTAATTAATCACGAATTTCTAATTTTATGTACTCTTGTCTCCGATTGTACCTCCCAAACATCCCTAAACCTTCCTTTAATATGGTAATAGAAGCAAGAATTTTGTTATTGTTGCATGTGAGCTATCTGTGACAGAAATAATGCACTTCATTCACGGAATAGATAACGTAAAGATAGTAAAATTTTAACTATTATATACGGAACCCTAACCCGAAAAGTAACTCAATATTGTAGTTGAAAAAAAAAACACGATCTCCCATATACATTCAAACTGCAAATGTAAATTTGTACGCACAATATTGTTTTGTTGAAAAATTCAGACTATAGACTTCTTATTAATTTCCTCTAATGTAAATAAAGAACTATTTTCTGGATTTTATTTCAAAATTTTAGGTTCAGTAGTTTCGGAGATAATGGGGAGGGGAAATGGTCAACTTTCATCTATTTTGTTAAATAACTTTAAAACTATGTATTTCAAGATTCAAAATTAATTTATTTACGTTAGGAGTTTTAGGGTTCTGTTTTTTTCAGTCAGATGTGCGGAACCCTAAAATGGTACTAACATGATTTTGTTGCATTTGTTTTACAAAAATAATAGATAGATAGATAGCTTTATTAAAAACATTATGTTTTATATACACAAGGTGCAATTACATTTACATTTACTTATTTTCTCTTTTCTACTTTCTCGTTTTTCTGCTATTTTCCTCCTTATTCGTATTTTTTTCATCTTATTTAGACCATCCTTTCTTTCCATTTGAATTTTCCCATTTCCTACAATATATACAAAGTACAATTTTTATTATTTTTCTACTCCTGTTATTTTTCTCTTCCACAAGATTTCTCTCATCCTTTTCATGTTGTTCATTCCTTCAAGTACAAAAATAATAAATAAGTAATTGATTTTTTTTAAAAATTGGATATTACGTTTTATTTGCACGGCTGCTTAATAAAAAACGTAGAAATTCTAGTGCACGAGAGATTTCTTGTTATTAAATTCAGACTATTCAAAAGATGGAAGTAAATACACATTACAAATTCACAAAAACATGAAATATGCTTAAAAACCAATGACTTATTTGACTTTGAAATCAATTTATCTTCCTGTCTACATTTCACCCTCTATAATATAAGAAGATTATTAAACTTTAGAAATAATGTTTTTGATGAACGAAAGGTTGGTGGTAAACTATTGGAGTGCTATTTTTACTCTAGATGTCAATATTGTCGATATCAAAAATGTCTCGCGATGGGAATGAAAAGGGAGGCGGTGCAAGAGGAACGACAAAGGACAAAGGATAAAGACAACTCGGAAGTAGAGTCCACATCGAATTTACACGTGGATATTACCATAGAAAGGATATTGGAGGCGGAAAAGAAAGCTGACAGTCTTATGGATCAACCAGTGGAGCTCGAGGTAGGTGCACTATTAAATCAAAAAAGTAGGCATAGGTACCCGTGCGTGTAATTCCATCATCATTTTTTCCTTTGAATTTTTCAACAGATTAACAACTTATGTACTTTACGTGTTTTTACCAGTATTGTATACAATTTTACTGTTTAGAGCTCTCTAGTAGTTTTTTTGGCTGTATTTATTTTGTACTGCAATTGTATTATCAGCCAGCACAGACGTTATAAGTCGTTGTTCGTGTTCGCTCAGACTACTTACGTGGCAATGAAGAAATTCAATAATAATATAGAAATTTATTAAAAAAACAATTCAGTAACTAACTTTTTCAATTTAAAGCACTTCTAACTCATTAAAAAAAATACAACGTGTAATTATACAACACGCTACTGAAGTGAAACTTCTTCAAACACACAAACATACCGGGATAGGGGTTAAGGAATTGGTTTAATGGTATTATTTGTACACTATGCT